CATAATTCAGAGTCATAGGTGAAAGTTGTTTATGCCTTTAAATGACTTCTGATTAACCAAAAGGTCTAGAATCATGATGTTTGGCAGATAGATTCCTGGGATGAAGCCCGGAACACTTTGTGAAAAGGATTTAATTTCCTTGTATTCAAAGTTGAAAAGGGTCAAATTTGTTAAAAGCTGCAAACTAATTCTCCTTATGAATAAGACTTTGAATTTCAATGATGAAATGTTAATGTATCTGTGAAAAACACTGAATACCAAGCTATGTTGTAGGCCCATTGGGCATCATGTTATCAAAATGCAAGTTTTTCTCTGTATTGGTATTTGTGTCTTTATGTTGTGATTATATTATCAAACATATAACACAGCAGCTGTTGCTATGGGTCCTTTATAACATGCAGTGCAGCTGTAACTATGGGTCTAAACACAGCAACTTTCACTATGGGTTTGAACATAGCATTCGTTACTTATGATTGGTCCATTATAACATGCAGTGGAGTTGTAAATACTAGTCCTAACACTAATATACCAGCTGTAACTAAGGGCCTAACACAGCAGTTGTAACTGAAATTACCAAACATAGCAACTGTAACTATGGGTCCATTGTAACATAAATTGAAGCTGTAGATATTGGTCTTAGCACAATAACCTAACTAATTTTTGGTCCTTAAAAGACAATTGTTCTTAGGGTCCTTACATTGCAGCTGTTACTACCAGTCCTGACACAAGCTTTATATATACAGGTTCATACACTGTAGCTGTACCTGTTGATACCAACACAGCCATTGTAACCACAGCTCCTAACACAGTAGCTGTAGCTATGGGTCCTAACACAGCAATTGTAACAACAGGTCCTAACAGAGTAGCTGTAGCTATGGGTCCTAACACAGCAATTGTAACAACAGGTCCTAACAGAGTGGCTGTAGCTACAGGTCCAAACACAGTAGCTGTAGCTATGGGTCCTAACACAGCAATTGTAACAACAGGTCCTAACACAGTAGCTGTAGCTTTGGGTCCTAACACAGCCATTGTAACAACAGGTCCTAACACAGTGGCTGTAGCTAGCTATGGGTCAATTGTAACAAACACAGTAGCTGTAGCTATGGGTCCTAACACAGCAACTGTAACTACAGGTCCAAACACAGTAGCTGTAGCTTTGGGTCCTAACACAGCCATTGTAACCACAGCTCCTAACACAGTACCTGTACCTGTTGATACTAACACAGCCATTGTAACAACAGGTCCTAACAGAGTAGCTGTAACTATGGGTCTTAACACAGTAGCTGTAGCTATGGGTCCTAACACAGCCATTGTAACTACAAGTCCATACACAGAGTAGCTGTAGCTATAGGTCCTAACACAGCAACTGTAACTACAGGTCCAAACACAGTAGCTGTAGCTATGGGTCCTAACACAGCCATTGTAACTACAAGTCCATACACAGAGTAGCTGTAGCTATGGGTCCTAACACAGCCATTGTAACTTCAAGTCCATACACAGAGTATCTGTAGCTATGGGTCCTAACACAGCCATTGTAACTGCAAGTCCATACACAGAGTAGCTGTAGCTATGGTCCCTAACACAGCAACTGTAACTACAGGTCCAAACACAGAGTAGCTGTAGCTATGGGTCCTAACACAGCCATTGTAACAACAGCTCCTAACACAGTAGCTGTAGCTATGGGTCCTAACACAGCCATTGTAACTACAAGTCCATACACAGAGTAGCTGTAGCTATGGGTCCTAACACAGCCATTGTAACCACAGCTCCTAACACAGTAGCTGTAGCTATGGGTCCTAACACAGCCATTGTAACTACAAGTCCATACACAGAGTAGCTGTAGCTATGGTCCCTAACACAGCAACTGTAACCACAGCTTGTTTTGTTTGCTATTTTAATTCCCACAGTATCACTGTGGTAATAAGAATTATCCAATATCTAAACATGTCAGACAGAAGAATATAAAAAAAGCCACCAGGATTTTATTGTTTCCATTCCAATCTCTTACCTGCAGACAGCATTTTTTATGGATTTAATCTGTAATGTATATGGACATAGTGTGCAGTCCTAATTGACATTCTTAGCTTTGTGTGCTATCATGTATAAAGTTGACAAAACATCGGCTTGAAACTCGATGAAATGCTATAACAACGTGCCTGAGTTTTTTGTGAATGGCATGGTATTATTTCTGTGTTTGCATGTTAATAGTCCATTGGCAAGAATCACCTAGACAGCTTAATTAATCTTAGATGAATTCAAACAAATGTAGAATGAAACCAGCTCACTCAGGTCAAGTTCAGAATTTCATCTAAAACTGACTCTAAACGCAGGGTAAATGTTGACTTCTCAGAATCTGAGCTTATTGACATTAGTTAATAGATAAAAATCCCAAACATTTGCATTTTGGAACTTAAAAAATAGCTAGTGAAACATTTCTTCTATGATTTGAAAAACAGCCAAACCAGGATTTTTTTCAGAGCTTTAGCACTATAACATTTGTTTACGATGTTGCTGTTTTTTTAAATTGCTGTTTTACTGCATTATTTAAAGGCAGTATGTTGTAAAGCATTCTCAGTAGTTGCTGAGCGATACGACTTGGTCTGGAGAGGCGAAGGCCGTTAGAATGAGGCCAGTGAAAGATGTAGTCAATTTCTAGTGTCTGGGGACCCATATTCTGTTCTATTGCTCACGGAGACAGTAATGTATCAGTTAATTGTAGATAGATGATCACTGTAGAATTTTCAATAGCGTGTCACTCCTCTGGACCTTCAGCAGAATCATGGAATATTTCTTTGTTAGAAATGAATGGCTTTTTTTAATGACGAAATTTCAAAGTTCTTTTTTTTTATATAGTAGAAATTCTAAGTTTTATCATAGCCAAAGAGCAATTGTTCTGTGTTCTAATATTAATAAAACCTTCCTTTGCAATGTTGGAAGTCTGTCGTAGAAATTTTTAGTTTTCTCCACATGACAAAAAAATGTATTGTCAATTAAAATAGATACATAATGTATATAAAATCTAGTGATATATGTCTGTCCATTTTTAAATGCAAGCTTGTTTATCAGTGCAATAACACAATGAAATATTGTCAAAGAAATCTTGTGATTGATTTCTTCTGTTCTATGTGTGTATGTCAAGATTAATGAAATTCTCCAAATTATAAAACTGTCACGATTTGCCCTACATTTCATGTGGAAACAGCATGGCGAAAAATACATTTTTGTGATACAGTGTCAGGGTGAGATCCTGATTTGGTGGTGAGTGGAAGTAGCGCAGTGTCTTGTGATGTTCAATGTTGTCCAATCACTGACAAAATTGATCAGCAGGAGATGAATTTGATTGTTGTTATTATCATTTTTATGATTTCAATGTGTCAGAAAGCCAATTAAGTACCAAAAGAGTTTAATAATTTTCAACAACCATGTTCATGCACAAAATAAAAAAAAGTAAAAAAGGCATGATTTTCCTTGACAAAATTAAAATTAAAAAAAAAAAAATTATAATTCATAATTTATTTCATTCCTTGATGAAAACTTATGGCGTTACCCAGTTGTCCTCAAATGTCGATGTTAAAAGATGATTTAATTGGAAAGATATTATGTGAGGACTACTTCTAACACTGTGCAGATGAATTCTGAAGCACTGGTTAAATGAATGCCTTAGTGTATAAATCCAAACTCCAGAGAAATAAATCAACTTTGCCTGAGAATTTTGAGAAATGTCTACATTTAGTAATTAGTTGAAATTTGAAGACACAATATTTTGAATAGGGACGTATTATATAGAAAGACAAAGAGCTAGGCCCAGAGAAGTCGTCACTTGTATTAGCATTTGTGTTTGTTTACCAAGATGTGAAGTCATCGTCAGAGCTCCCTCTCTCTCACACCTTCCCAATACAACCTACCTAATAACCAGGGCCATTTTGTTGTTCAATGAGAAGTGAATCTGTTTTTTGTAACAGAAACAATATAATGTACTAATGAATTAAAGTGATGTCACAAGTAAATTGGAAAGTCGCTCAGCTTTACAATGCCATTTATTCACAGATATATATTTTGGGCTGACAGTGGTATAAAATGCAGGGCAGTATTTCCGTTATAAATAGCTTTAACATGTATTATTGTAAAATAGATATCAAAAGATAATAGAAATTAATTGTCACAAAAGTTAGCACAATCAATCTGAAATGTATTAGAATTTCTAATACTGTTTATTTTTAAAAGATTGGTTTTGTGCTTTTGTAGAAATATGGCTTGCAAATACAGTAAATTTAGTTAACTGCTATTTCTTAGCTATATTAAGTTACCTCCTATTTCTTTGCTATATTAAGTTAACTCCTATTTCTTCGCTGTATCATTACAGAGAGATATAGGCAGTTTCTTATCTCTTTATTTTACATCCCTGTTTTGAACCACTGCCAAAATTTCTTCAATGTTTTCAACATCTGAATATGTTTTTATTGTAATTATCGTGCTGGCATGGACAGGAGTAATAATATTCTCTCACTTGAAATGTTGGGTGGCCTTACATCACACTGATTTCCTGGTTTATTGTTAGAATTAATAGATGTGACATATTTGTTCATGCAGTTCATAGGTCAACTCTTCTTAAGCCATCTTAACATTGATCGAATTCTAATTCCAAATTAAATGGTAAAAAAAAATATGTGTTTATTGCACTTTGAAAAGATTGTTCTTTTCCTGGTATTTTACCTAATTTATGTACAAGAAGTCCATGTCCGGTAATCAGCTCAATCATACTTATATTGTCACATTGCAGAAACAGTGTTAAATTTTCCTGCAATAAACCTACCTTCTGAATTTTAACCACAGATTCTGTGATGGCCTCCTGAACAATCGGATATGATACCAATGGGTGTAATGTCCTAATTTAAAGTTTTAAAAAACGCATGAGTTGATTGTTTCATTATCACCGAACTGTTTTCAAAAATATGTTTTTCCTCATGGCTTGACAGTTATGTATCTTTTCTTGATTTCAGAAACTGAATGTGCCTGTAAACAGAACAACTTTGCTGTGGTTACGCCATGCCTTTGCCACCGGCCTGAATCTGCCTTTGGAAAATGTTGGCATTTACAAAGTCAAGGTAAAATATTGGTTTTAACTTCCTTAGAGTGATGATAACAAATGATAATGATTAAAAAATATTGGGAAATAAAGTTTAGAGATAATTTCCTCTGTTAAAGTTTAACTAACTTCAATTATAGATATCAAAGTCTACGACTTTTAAAATAATGAAAAGTACATTCCATTCATATCAGCATGACAGCCCCAGGCTCCTGAGTCATCGAAGCAAACCTTATCCAAACACGGCTGAATTGTATCTAAGCATATAATTTGACATATTCAGATGTTTCCAGAATTATTACTATGGATTAATATGTAAACATTAATGGTGGCTCCTGATTTGTCAAAATTGAGCTTTTGGCCAATTAAGCTGAAAATTAGTATTTGGCCTAGCGAATACTTTGGTACTTAAAATGGTTCTCCTTTTACTTCCATGGTAACCAAAAGAAAAGCTCTAATTGGACGAAATCTGCTACTCCTAAGCTTGGAAGAATGAAATTCAATGAAACTACACAGGAAATGTCCATTGGGAATAATAGGGCTTAAATGAGCATCATAATGGACTGATTTTATAATACATGGTAATTGTAAGGAAATTGGGCAGGACAAGGGAATGATAAATGTCTAGGGAAATTCAAGGTCATATATAAAATGTTGAGGTCATAGGGGCTGAAACTGAAACCATGTCTGTACTACCCTTTTTTTTCATTCTTAGAGGTTTTTGTCATTTAAGTACCAGGTAACACAAAATTTGCCAAATCAGCTAACACGAAGTTTGCGAAAACACTATATATATGTAGTGATTTTCTGAGCAATGGGAAAGAAAAACAAAACAAGATAAAAAAAAAATATCTCATGCATTGTTGCAGTACTATCTAAACTGAATAATGCAAATTATACACAATCCTTTGAAGGGTATTGTTGATAAGTTGATGCATGTGTCCTGAATAATAATAGTGGGCTCAAGTGATGACAGCTTGTGTTTCTCAGGAAGCTGAGAAATGGACTGGTTTTTACAGACGTGATTATTTCTTTGGTCAGGATCTACTCATGTAATTTTTACCTGATTGCTTTGGATGGCATGTGATTGGCCTCTCCTATGTTGTTCATTGAGGGAGCCACCAGCAACTTCAAAGAGAGCCTTCCTCAAAATGACCCTTTCTATTCACGCCATTTAATTTATTTTCTTTCTTAATGTATTCTTCAGATTGAAAAATTCAACATAGATATAAAATACTTTGAGTTGTGTCCCTTTGGTACAGTACATCTACATATGATGGGGTCACAATATCTTGATAGTGTTTGACAAGATACAAGGCTCATCATTTGGATTGCTTATTTTCCTTTGATTCATAGATATGCAGAATGTCTTTGTTACACTGGTAGGCAATAAATGGTTTTCAAAAATGGTGAAAATTTGTTGTATTTACTGTACATTGGATTTGTTTAAGGGTTCGGAGGTCGAGCTCTTCTTCATCAAACTGGGCCACCCTGTGAATATGTTTCGACTAATAGACTTAAAGACGGCTGATGAAATAATCACTGATGATTTGCTGCAGACGGTCCAAAACCAAGTGCCTACATTTAATATCACTTCATTTTATCCTCAGGTTAGTTGATCAAGGTCAAACTATTTCAGAGTCAACTTAGTCTTTGACAAGGTCAGACTACTCAATGTCAAGGTCAGACAATTTTAGTGTTGTGGTATTTGATTGTAAATTTATCAACCTTGTCAAGTTAGTAGACTTGCTTCAACTTATTAAATTAAAAATTTAAAGGTCTGTTGCATTGGCAAAAATAACCTGTTTTCAACAAAGTAAGTCTCATATTTGGTAGGTCAAGGTCAGCTTATATCATTGAGGTAAATGGAATTGAACATGCTTTGTAAATATTTAGACCTGCAAATAATAGTTGTGATATTTTAAATATTAGATAAATAAAAACTTAGTCATTGATAATTTCAATATCAAAAATGTTGAAATTTCTCCAAATGGAATAAAATAACACTTAATTTATTAACTGTTGTATAGAAATGTTTTTGATTCTACAAGGGGAAATCTTAATAAAAATGAAACTTAGGGTTCTATCATCTTGAAAAAAATAATAATGATAAATAAAATTAAAAAAAAAAGGTCTTGAAAAATAATAAAGCTGAAGTATAACATGAAAAAGTTGTGACAACACAACAAAATCCATTGTTTGTAATTGATTACTTAATTGTTTTAGGGTCTTATCTTAGATTTCACTACAGCTCTGTGTATCATTGCTGACATTTACTCCTTGTGTGCTCTTGTGTAGGAATGTTCTATTCCCAACCGTAGGGATTCAAATTATGTAATGAATGATTTTTCTATTGTTCAGCATGATTTTGTCATTGAGAAGTACCATGTGAAGTTTTGGATGGAGAGTTATTTCCCGTATGTAGCAGCTGCCTGTGGAGTGTACCTTGTCCTCATAGTCTCTATTGTGGTACGTTGAATTGTTTGATCTGGGATTCCTTAAACCAAAATGTCTTTAAAGAATCATAGAAAATGGATTGGCTTCCTTCCATAACTTTTGATAAAAAGTTCAAATTCTGTTATTTGATATAAGTGGTGTAATCGCATAAATTTTTTGGAATTTTGGAAATTTGAATTCATTAATGAAATAAAAATCTCAAATATTTCTCTAATAAGCAGAACTGTATTGGGTTTTTGCTTTAAAAGGTAATTAACTTCATTCAGATCTTTAGAGGTGAAGTCAATGCATATAATTTTAGTAATTCTGAAATTTTGAATTTCTTGGTAAGTGTCATACCTCAAAAAGCCCTTGGCTAAGAAAGACTTAATTTGAACTTTGAAAAAACGGTTATCAATTAACTTTATTTAAACCTTATGATTCTTAAGAAGTGGAGTCATTGCTTCCAATTTTGTAATTCTACTGTTTTTAATTAGGTGTTGAGACCTTGACCTTGTCCCTGGCTATAACATCTTAACATCATAACATTGTGACTTTGTAGGTGTATTGTTGTTGGCGGAAATCCAAAAAAGAGCCACTGGCCCCTAAGGAGCTGGCCAAGCCTCAGCAGGTGTACTATCCCTCCATCAAACCAGATATGAAGGATCCCATGATGATACAACCTGAATCTAGTCCAACATTTGTCACCAAGGGTTGTGTAACTCCAGTACAGACACCACCTATGAGAATCAAGACCAAAGGACTCTTAGAAAGGTCAGTGAGGCCAAAGGTGAAGGTCACAGATTAAAATTGATTTACTCATTATTAAGCCCATGGCTTGTAACAGGCCTAACATTTATATACATAGATCATTAGAATTCCATATAAATGCTGTTCATTGTCCAGTAAGCTCACCTCCTGACCTGGAGTCAAAACCTCTTGTGTTGCCCCCCTGGTAATGATCACTAGTTGGACAGGGAGCATAGTGTTACAAACAGAGACAATTGGAATCTAAACACAGATAAATTTGTATATCAATTTAATAAAAATCTGATATTACACAGAATTTAGTTCGATATATTCATACAATCTGATTAGTCCGTGCCTGGAGCCAAATGTTATATTAGTATTTTACTCAAATAACAGCTTTGAACTGCTATTAGAGTTAGTGAGAGTTAGCTGTGGCCTCTATATAAAATGGTGTAGTATGTATACTTAAAGGCTTTTTATTTCCTCTCTTTCAGACGAGGGTCAAATGCGTCATTGACGATAGACCTGAATGCTTCGCCTGAAATGAAGAGATGGGACGGAACACCACCAAAAGAAAGGTAAAGTTAACATCCTTAAGAAAGGTACATGTACTTATAAATTAGAACATCTTACAAGGAAATAGGGAACAGAACACCACTAAAAAAACACAGAAAATATTAGCATTGATTGGTCCCATTTTTGTATTCTTAAAATCAACAAGTTGTACTTGTTCAGATTACACTAATATTGGTGCAAACATCAGTGTACAATGTTCTCCAATGGCCCTGCCTACCTGGAGGTATCCTAGTATTACAGAACCTACAATACTTTCACGAGAAGAATGGTGTTGGCTCTACACCTCTAGTGATGTTTTACAGATGCAATATGCACAACACGTGTGAAAAATAATTTTAATGCACGATCAAGCAGCACAACTGTACTCTCACGCTTGACTTGGAAAAAACATCACAATTATGCTACTTTTACATTATTGTACACAGTTGTTGTGTGAGAAGATTATATCACATGTGTTCTGTGTCAGCAGTTTTTGGCCTCACTTTGTTGTTTTACATTAGAGAATTTTGCTCTTGCTTCATATCTTAAAAAAAAAACTACCTGACATGTACATATTAACACAATCATGTAATCAATATGGCCACATTACTGCAGACTTATTTGCAATATTTCTTTGATTTCATTTTATGCCTCTGCCATGAAAGGTTGCGGGGCGCATATAGGGTTGCCCAATGTCCGTTCCATCCCCTCCAGTTAAGATTCAATGTAAACTCTTACCAACTTCATTCTTTGACAGATTTTGTTCAAGCTTTATACAAAGGTCAATCACAAGGCTGAATAATTATGATGATTGCCTGTCCTTAGACCTCTTGTTTCCATATGTAATTATGTACTGACGGTGAAAGTAAAAATGATCTTATTTGATATCATTACAGTACTGGTTTAGAGTATTTGTTATCAGCGGGGAACAGATTAAGCAGAAGAGACTTAAGAATGGCAGTCAAACATTGTAAAGCTTTGTATGAAGAATTTTGGGTAAGTAACAATTAGTACTTAACAGTGATAGATAATTTAATATTTCATTTTATGAAAATGATGTTACCTTTGGTTACTGTAGGTTATTAAGTTAGTACGATCATCTGTGTCACTTTGAATAGCCCAGATTTTGCGGATATTGAGCATAGGATATCTGACCGCTTGCTCTGATCAATCTCCTACTTTCTAAGTAAAACAAAATACCTCACTCATCTGCAGTTAGGTAAAACAAATAAGCTGTGTTTTCAGAGGCATTTGTTTAGAAATATGGCATCAATTGAGGAAATGATGTTAGTTGATTATATTTTAAAATATCATATTTTGATATATCAACCTTTTTCATAGAAATGTGACAACTACCTATACTATACCAAGTCTCCTTAACCCTTTCAACACCGTAGGCGACTAAAGTCGACATGCAGACAGGCTGCCGTAGGCGACTTTGGTCGACAAAGTTAATATCTTTATTTCAGTAATGCTGCCATTGTTTTCGGATATTTTCTGGAAAATATTTGGCGCTGAGCTGTACATTGTGAAAGATAGTTGGCGCCGAAAGGGTTAATATGATGTCTCTTTGAAAACATTTACATATGATTTTTAAACGACAAGATATTTAACCTATGTTTGTGTACTCTGCAGGAAATACCGATGAACCATCCAGAAAAAGTGTATGTAGCAGGTTCTGGTATGAAGAACAGATACAAAACCATTATACCAAGTAAGTATACAGTGAAACCTCACCTAAAGACCACCTCAAAATTACGACCACCCCGCTATTACGGGCACTTTTTTTCAGTTCCGTTTTTTTTCACTATATATCTTTGTATTGGTCGCTTCAGTATTACGACCACCCCGCTATTCCGTATTACGACCACTACCTACAGTCCCAACGACCACTTATTAACGATAATTGACCTCACAATTACGACCACGGTCTGACCAGTGATTAAAGTTTACCTGGTTGGCCGTGAACTGCGAACATGTGTGTCATTCACGACCATTGTTTTCGTCACGGGTTACTGACCCTGTCACCAGGTGGCGTTAAACGAAGTAAACATCATTATCGGATTAACTTGGCCTACCCGTCCGAAACCGTGTGCTAGACATGTTTTAATAGCGATCTGTTGTTTGTTAATTATATATTGATAGATCAGTAGGTATGCTGTTAAACACCTTAGAAGCCCTGCATACCCAAAAGTGAATTATGAAGTCGTTTCGGCCGATATTCCTTGGCTTGCACGCGCACGCGTTGTCGAGGGTTTTTAACTGTTTTTGTAGCAATGTTGCACTCTCGATATCGTTTGAACAATAAAAAACGTGTATGCCACATTTTTTCTGTCACAAAACTCCGATGAACTTTATCAAGCAACGACGAAACCACGGAAACGAAACGAGGTATCGCTATAAAAGGACGTATGAAAGAGGAGGCTGTCCAGATCCGTAGCTCTTCGCAATATTGTCCACTGGACTCTTTGTTTTTTTAAGTAAAAAGAAAAATGTGTTGTACTGAGTGATACACTGATAAAGATAATGTGTTTGCGAATTTAAGTGAAAAATGAAGCGTTGAAAGACTTTATAGTGACTTCATTAAAGTTGTTACAAATACAGAGTAAATGTGTTCGTAAATTTATGTGAAATAGTTGCAAAATTAACGTTAAATTCCAATTGAACTTAAAATGAATTGTTTGTTTCCTTTTATTCAATGTTTACAATAGTAAATATACATGTATATTATGATATAAACTAAGGAATATATTAATAATTATTCTTCTGTCAATTCAGCAATTTTGTCTTTTTTACATGCATTTCATAAAATTCAACATTTTAGTTTATTATTATTAGTTATTATTGTTGAATAATATACATGTACATTACTTTATGATATATATACTCTTTATTTTAAACAGAGTTACGGTTCTTTGTGGTCAATCTGATCCACCTCACTATTAAGACCACCTCGCTATTAAGACCACTTTTGTCCAGTCCCCAAAGTGGTCTTAATAGCGAGGTTTCACTGTACTATTGAGTCTTGTTCTCAGGCAGGCTAAGGTTCTTAACTAGTGTTGTCTCGATAATTAATTATAATCATTGTCTAATTGAAAAGGCAACTGATTCCCAGCTATCCTTTATGAGGTAACAACATCGAACATCGTTTCCAAAACCAGAATTGCAAGTTTAGCTACAGTTTTTAAGGATTATGTTATGGTAGACAAACTGATTATTAATCGAAAATCGATTGGCACTAAGTGATTAAATCCGATGATCTATGTTGAAATCTCAACCGATTCCCAACACTAGATTCAACACAAAGAGGTGGAATCTGTACAGTCTTCCATGATAAATATTTGTTTTGTTGATCAATTTATTACTCTATGAACAGCCAAGGTCATAATTTGAGGCTAGATGTCCTTGTTGCAGCTGGTGGCTGTCTCACTGAATAACATATGGGAGACCCGTCGTGTACTTTCCACAGCGAGGTAAAAAATTTGTCCAATGACACAAACATGATAGTACAGAATGGTTGGAGATCTCAGATTTTTATGATAGTACAGAATGGTTGGAAATCGTAGCTTTTTATGATAGTACAGAATGGTTGGAGATCTCAGATTTTTATGATAGTACAGAATGGTCGGAGATCTCAGATTTTTATGATAGTACAGAATGGTTGGAAATCCTAGCTTTTTATGATAGTATAGAATGGTTGGGAGACCTCAGATTTTTATGGTAGTACAGAATGGTTGGAAAACCTAGCTTTTTATGATAGTACAGAATGGTTGGAAAACCTAGCTTTGTATGATAGTACACTCAATGTACATAATTACATATTTAAGTGAATAAAGATCAGTAAAAGATACAGACATGGTGTACCAAAGGCATACTCTTGATATCAGGTCAGTTTGAAACACTTTACATGAAGATACAGTGTTTTTGTAGTAAATATTCTTTGTAGATTGAAACACCGATTCATTGATCAAAATACAGTAACAATCATCTGACTTCAACTGGGGACTAAACATTGTTTCATGATCTTGAGGTTGGTATGTTCAATAGATTTATATCACTTAGGTGTCTGAAAACTTATTTATCACAATGGCCATGGTGGCCAATATGATTTAGTTGTCTGACTGTCTTTATCACTGGCCCTCTACCTGTGGGTCACAGGTTCAATTCCTACTTTGGGCAGTTGCCAGGCACTAGCTGCTCCAGCTTTCCTCTACCACCTAAACCTGGCATGTCCTTAAATGACCTTGGCTGTTGGAGATAAAGCAACAATAAACCAAACATAATTTTCACATAATTACCCAATTAACATTGTTATAATACTGGATTATTATGACTACATGATTAACGATGCCTGACAGAGGAAACTATACTTGGATGAACGTTTTAGCTGTTTTAATGATGACGTCATACTTTGCGTCATCATGTGGATTTGTGATGTTTATAAGGAGATAGAGTGAGAATACTACCAGTTTTGAATCAATGACAGTAAAATAAAGCATTTTCACAGATACTAGCAAAAGTGTTTAAGTTATATCATAAACCAAATTTTATATTTGTTTCTCTTTCCTGAATGTAGTCACAAATTTTCCATTTTAATGGAAATTGAAAAATTATTGTATTTTTGATGACATATTGACATCAGCTGACAGAGCTTAAATCATATCACTTAGTAAGTCTTACTATCATCAGTGTCATGATCTCTTTTTCATGATGCTTATTCCAGGAAAGTTTTGCCTTCGTAGCTTTTTCCAGAAAAAATATAGATAAGGAACTCCAGTTATTCTCTTTGTTTTAGCCTTGACATTGCAGTATAATGAGGAGTTTTCAATTATCTAGTAACTATAAATCCCATGTTATGTGATATTTGATTAGGAAAAACATTCCATATCCAGACTTCTATCTGCATTTTCATTAGACAGAGCTAAATTGGAGATTTTTTTGTTTTGGTTGCTATCAGTGACATACTCTCATGTTTTGATGATGAAAAGTTGTTTACGTGATATCAAAGAACACAGAAAAAGATAAGTATCATTTTCCTTTGATGTGGTTTGAAAGTCATTAAGAAATTGCTATGAAATTGAAATTCTTAAATGGGAGATATAAAAGTGAGAATTGTAGAATTGTATTTGTCTGAGGACATGTGAACGCAGCCTTATTCTTAGTCTAAATAAATGATAGGAGGGCAAAACTGGAATGAAAGAAAGATTAACAGAGCATGGACTAGAACAAGATTAAAATCCGATAAGCTGGTAGTATCTTCCTAATGATCATAATACTTATTATTGTATAAATCTAGGTCAAATGATATGAAGCAGGCTAGGGTTAACAACACTTTGCCATTAGACAATACATCAAAGGTATTGGATGTGATTGACAAGACAGATTGGTTTTAAGTATGGCAGACTGAAATCATATACAGACTTGACTGTACATGTATGCATGATGGATGATAAGTGTGTCAAGTTTGGTGGAGATTTTTTCTGTTTTTTTTTTTTTATTATTTTATTATTATTATTTTTTAATGCAATTTCTTGGTTACTCTAATTCCGGGAATTCATATGTCCAGGAATTAATAAAGAATAAAAAATTGGCTAAAGTCTAACGCATTAGAACATACAAAATCAAGTTCCCATGGATTAGTTTTAAAAAAATGATGAAACTTATGACTCACAAAAACATGGGCAAGTAATATAATACTGATAATTTGATGTATTGATGATTAAAATTTTATTAACTTTTTAAAATGAGAGTTGATGAAAAAAATAAATGATTTCTGTTGTCAATTTATTTCGCTGTAGAGGGAGTTAATTGGTTTTCGTTTTTAATGAGATATTAAGATTAGAAAATCCCAAAGTGACGAAGCATGTTGACTGACAGGTGTAGATACAAATTCAGTAAATCAAATTCAGAAAGCTTCAAAGAGCTTTGAGCCATTTTGGTGCCAAGTAAGGTGAAGAGTAAATTTCCTGCAGGATTAAATAACTTCCTTGTTGTTATTTTGAGGTTGATATTTGATCAGGAACAAGGAAATAAAAGACAGATTTCACGGCTCAGCAGCTGGACAAAGTCTGGTTAATAGAATCCAACAAGATGCAGGATTATACAACTTTCTAATTGTCTGTGTTTGGTCAGGTGCATTGCTGGATAGGAGTTGTGTAATGGGGCTTAGTTGTTAGTCGATCAGCAGGTGATTAGCCAAGCCTAAATACTATGCCAGTGGGCTGTCAGTCTGATGAAATAAGCCAGGATCAATAAGATTGAGAGCCTATATCCCCTTACATGTTTAATACTGTTTATCTTCCATAATTCTCCAAATACACAGGTAAAACCTCATTACCTAAATGACATGGTTATGCCCTTGTTTCTTAAGGCTAAGTTCTGATTGGTAGCTTTGTTATTTTATAATCCTGACTTCCAAGGAATATATAGAGATATATTGATTATAGAGATATATTATAATGATATATATATAGATATACATGTATATATATATATATATATATGAGAATAATATTCAGAAACATGATGTGCATTTAAGTGTAAAGCATGAGCGCTTTCATGTATTAATCTTCAGACGCTTTACATCATACACATCGTGTTTCTGATTATTATTCTCATATATTGAACCGGACACTGAGCTGTTGATATTTTCATTATATATATATACTTTCTTAATATGTGTGCATTTTGTGTGTTCCTCTATCTTAAAAGGTTTCAGCATCACA